TTTTTTTTTTTAAAAAAAAAAAAAAAAAAAAAAAAAGATGCAGGCTTAAGTATTTAAAAGCAAAGCTTAACTATGTCTGCAACTTCCATAAAGATTCAGAAAAATTATAAACAGAAATAGAAATAGAAACTTACTACTGCCATTTTATTGTTTTCTGGTTGTTTTGTGTAGATCCTTTTGCTCTTTCTTCCTCTCTTGCTGTCTTCCTTCATGAATAATAAGTGATTTTCTCTACTGGTATTACTCAATTTCTTACTTTTTATCTTTGTGTTAACTACTGTAGGATTTTGCTCTGTGGTTACCATGAGGCTTACAAAAAAATTTCATAGTTACGACAAGTCATTTTAACCTGATAGCTAATTTTGATTGCATTAAAAAACTACTTAGGCTCTGCCCATTCCACCCCCAATTTTAAATTTGGTGTCACAGTTTACACCTTAGTAACAACGTACAGTATTCTACAAAAGTACTGAGAGGAGAATTTAAGTGTTTTCACAACAAAATTGGTTAACTATGTGAGGTAATGTATATGTCAATTAGCTCAAATTAGCTTTCACAACATACGCATATTTCGAAACAACATATTGTATACAATAAATACGCACTAAATTTTGCCAGGCATGGTGGCTCATGCCTGTAATCCAAACAATTTGGGAGGCCAAGGCTGGAGGACCACTTGGGCCCAGGAGTTTGAGGCTGCAGTGACCTATGATTGTGCCACTGCACTCCAGCCTAGGTGACAGAGAAAGATCTTATCTAAAAAAAAATAAGTAAATAAATATATTTATTTATATTTGTCAAAAATAACTACAGAAAGAGATACACACACACACACACACGCACGCACACACACACACACACACACGTATGCACATATACATGCATACTTACATACATACTAACCATAGTTCAAGTTTTATTAAAAGGGAAAGTGAAGAGAAGGGAAGACATGTGGCCACCTTACCGCAGCATCAACATTAGCAGGTGAGTCTCCATTAGGGTCTGCCAGCATAGAAATGACACTAATCATGATGGTTTCCACAGTGTGGATAGGGAGCCAGCGTTCTTCTGGCTTTTCATAGCCATACTTATCTTCCCCAGGCTCATGAAGAATAGAAATGCACACATCACCGTTTTTATCAACTGTAAAATTAAAGAAGAGGGTTGTTTCATATATTGCTAATTTGGCTATACATAAAATATCAATTACAAACGTGATCCTGATTCACAGAGTATCTTTATAAAACACGACATATATACAGAAGTTCATGTCTAAAAATGGAATGTGTTGGCTTTTTAGGAAGACTATCGTATAGATTTTACCAAATACATAGGATCCATCTGACAAACCCAATAGAAATGTAAGCTATCTTTTTCGTTTATGTGAAAAACATTAAAATATCTATTATATAGATGGATGGTACTCAACATTCGCATCATAAGTACGACATAATAAATGAATAAATGGCAACTACTGAATCAGTTCTTCATCTGCAGAAAGTACCAGCAACTGAGTTTCTAGGTAATGGTTTCCTAGTTTCCCACTAACTTACAGACTTAAATTAGTGATAGTCAAAGGCCCAGAGACCTTCCTAAGAAATGTATTTTTACAATCATATAAAGGCAAAATTATATGTTCTGAGAAAGAAGCATATTCAATTTACAAAACTAACATGCCATACTGCCAATGAAAAATCAACAACATATATGACACTCATGGGGCCTCCTTTCTATAAATACATTTAATAAGAAAATATCCTTATTTTTAAGAGACGCGTGCTGACACAACTATTTAAGTGGTTCGGCAAAAAGTAAAATATTACTTATCGATTAAAAATAAAAAGGTCGTGCAGGGTGGCTCACACCTGTAATCCCAGCACTTTGGGAGGCCGAGGAGGGCGGATAACTAGGTCAGGAGTTCAACAACAGCCTGGCCAATACGGTGAAACTCTGTCTCTACTAAAAATACAAAAATTAGCCGGGTGTGGCGGTGCACGCCTGCAGTCCCAGCTACTCGGGAGGCTGGGGCAGAAGAATCGCTTGAACCCGGGAGGCAGAGGTTGCATCGAGTAGAAATCGTGCCGTTGCACTCTAGCCTAGGTGACAGAGTGAGACTCTGTCTTTAAAAAAAAAAAAAGTCCTAATCCACAATTTGATTTATACATTACATAAATAATCCCTATTGTGAAACTAATCTTTTATGGTAACATTTATCCACTGTAATTTTTTTTAAAGCATACTTTGAGGAGGAAATTATTGAAAGGAATTTAAATAGTGACAATATTTATGTATATTTCATTCCTAACTTATTCTACATAGTCTAACAAATTTGTGAATAAATATAATTCTAAATCTTATTTTTCATTTCATAACATCAATATTTATCCTGTTACAAACTCTGGGTAATCAGAATCAAAATTTGTACATACCAATCAATATCACTGCTCTCTTAATTCTACAAATACTTATTTTTTGGTGGTTTTTTTGTTGTTGTTGCTTTGGTTTTTGAGACAGGGTCTCATTTTGTCACCCAAGCTGGAGTGTAGTGGTATGATCACAGCTCTGTGCAGCCTTGACCTCCCAGGCTCAAGTGATCCGCCTATCTAAGCCCCCCGAGTAGCTGGGACCATGGGCGCATGGCATGATGCCTGGCTAACCTTTTTTTTTCCATAGAGATGGAGGTCTCACTATGTTGCCCAGACTGGTCTCAAACTCCTGGGCTCTAGAGATCCTCCCACCTCAGCCTCCCAAGTAGCTGGGACCACAGGCACATGGCACCATTCCTGGCTAAATTTTTTTTTCGGTAGAGATTTAGTCTTACTATGTTGTCAAGGGTGGTCTCGAACTCTCGGGATCCTCCCACGTCAGCCTCCCAAAGTGCTGGGATTACAGGCGACCAGCCATCAAATACTTTTTCAATACCTACTGCATGCCAGGCACACATCTGACAGAGAAGTACAGCAGTGAATATATGACAGACGAGGCCCATGCCTTCAATACTTTATGTATGAGTTTTTCTATAATTAAGGTTCCTCTTCCCAACCCACCCCTATCTGCTAGTAAAATCTATTAACTGAAATAGAATCAGGACAAGAATAACATCAAAACTTGTAACACTACAAAGTTTAGCATAAAAATTTCATAGAGTATTACTATTTTTACAATGTTTTCTGTACTTGTTGTATAATAAGGATTTTTTCCAAGTCATTTTTCTTTAAAAACATGCTATTAAGTGTGTGTACAGAATTCTACCCACGGCAATATAAGATTCATTTTCCTTTTAAAAAACTTAAGTTATCACTAATCCAAGGATCTTTGTATTTTTAACCTTCTCATATGATTTTAAACAGTTTATTTTAGAAAGAGAAGATTTTTAGGTTTAATAACTATTATCAAATTATGTTTTAAAGGATTGTATCAATTTATACTGCTGTCAGCAATCTGAGATGACCATTGCATTGCTTCCTCAGGATGAACACTTTTCTTTATTGATACTGTTTAAATTTCATACATGACATCTGATTTACTTCACTTTTCTAAATGCTTTTGGGGTGACAACTTTCCATGGATATAACCTGTACGTCTTTCCTCTTTTGTGAAATGTCTGTTCTTATCCGTTAGCCAGTTACATACTTAACGTTAACTTTTCTCTTGCCAAAATGTTTTTCAGTTTTCCCCATTTAATTTCTGCCTTTTACTTTTTTCTTTCATTTCAATGTTCATTAGAGATGGTTTTATTTTTCTGACACAGGACCCACTGAAGAATATGATATTGCATGCAGCTGCCATTTCTCTTTGGTCCTGTTTGTTCAGTCTTTCAGTGTTTATTACTTTTGAAAATATAATGTTTTTGTTCCTTACACCAAATAAGTGCTATTCACTACTTAAAAATCATTTGTAACTTTTTATTGCTTTTAGTGTTTTCTTCCACTTTGCTGTTTAGCATGAAGAAAATTCTATCATTTTCCCTGGAAATAGCTAGCCTATAGTCTCAACACCAGCTACTCAAAACACAGTTTAGTTTTTATCTTAAAACTAAGCTACCGGAGTTGGGCATGGTGGCTCATGCCTGTAATCCCACTACTCTGGGAGGCTGAGGCGGGCGGATCACCTGAGGTCAGGAGATCGAAACCAGCCTGGCCAACATGGTAAAACCCCCATCTCTACTAAAAATACAAAAATTAGCCACGCATGGTGGCAGGTGCTTCTTGGGAGGCTGAGGCAGCTGAATTGCTTGAACCTGGGAGGCAGAGGTTGTTGCAGTGAGCCACTGCACTGCAGCCTGGGCAATAGAGTAAGACTCTTTAAAAAACAACAACAACAACAAAAACAAAAAACAAAAAACCCACAAAAGCTAAGCTACCTAAACGGTACATACACTTCTAGCTAGCTCCTTTTTCTTGAGGCCATGCATCTAAAGTTCTGAAAACCTGATTTACCCTTATCTTCTCTATTTACTCACCACAACTGTGTCACGAGTGGTCTGGATAACATATTTATTTTCCTGGGTACCTTTATCTACCTGAAGTCACCCCTCTGGACCAAGACAACTCATACTGTGACAACACTTGGCTGGATACATTTTCCTCCCCTGGCATCTGTGGTACTCTTGTTTTTCCCTGGTTCTTGAGCCATTCACTCAGTCATTTTCCATTTTCATCTTCCTCAATCTGACTTTTGATGTAATTCTAATCTCCAACATTAATTATATTCTCCCTAGATAAATGAGCTCATTCATTATCATGTTATCTATCATCTTGACACAGTAACTTCCAAGGCCCTTAAGCTCATTGCTCAACTCTGAACTAGTTTTATCTAATTATCTAACTGGATGCAGCAAGTATACCTCAAGAAAAACTGAATATATGTAAGGTCACACAAAACTATTTCCCCTATAATAATTTTATAACATCTCTATAATTCACCTACTGTACAATTTACCTATTTGAAGAGCACAATTTAATGGTCTAGTATGTCTATAAGAGTTGTACGGCAATACCACAATCAATTTTAGAATTTTTTTTTCACCCTACAGTGAAACCCAGGTACCAGTTAGCAACCACTTTTCAATCACCCACCTCCCCTCTAGCAGCAGGGAACCACTAACCTACTTCCGGTCTCTATGGATTTGCCTATTCTTGACGTTTCATACAAAGGGAATCATACACTAAGTCACCTTTAGCTTCTGACTTGGCTCTCGTAGTATAATCTTTCCAACTTCGTCTATGTGGTAGCATGTACCACTACTTCATTTCCTACTTTCCTTAAGAAAACAGTGTCATATAATTCACTTCTTTTTATTGCAAAATAATATTCTGTTCTATGGATCCACATTTTGTTTTTCTATTTATCAACTGATAGACACTTGGGTTGTTTCCACTTTTTGGCAGCTATGAGTAAAAAATGCTGCTGTGAACACTCATGTTCAAGTTTTTTCTGGACATGTGTTTTCAATTTTCTTGGCTAGGTGCCTAGGACTGGGATTGCTGGGTCATGGTAACTATGCTTAACCTTTTGAGGAACTGCCAGACTCTCTTCCAACATCCGCACCATTTTACCTTCCTGCCAGTAGTGCATGAGAGTTCTAATTTCTCTGCTTCCTCATTGACACTTGTTATTATCTTTTTTATTATAGGAATCCTAGTCGTTAAAAAGTGGTGTTTCTTTGATTTTCCCTCTATAATTATTTTTGTAAACAGCCAGTCAATCCTAAATTCTTACTTCTCCAGTATCATCCACCTCTGACAGTTAAGTCTAAGTAAGCTGCCCTTCCTGTGATACTATTCTTAGTTCAAGCTTTTATTGTTTTTTACTCAAATTACTACTAAAATGCTCTACCTCATGGCTATCTGATTGAGCACCTGACTTCCCCTTCCAATCTTCCACGAGTATAATCTTTCAATAAGGAAAATTAACAGAAACCCATTACATAGCTTTTTTATTTTTTGTCATTTTCTCTTTTTGTCATGACAACCTACTATTATGTACAGCTTTAAAAATCATTAATTAAATGAGCGTTCACAGCCTAAAGAAGGAAGTCCAAGTCAAGCATCATCTTCCTCAAAATTCCATCCAAGGCTGGGTGCAGTGGCTCATGTCTGTAATTCCAGCACTTTGGGAGGCTGAGGCAGGCTGATTACTTGAGGTCAAGAGTTTGTGACCAGCCTGGCCAATATGGTGAAAACTTGTCTCTACTAAAAATACAAACGTTAGCCAGGTGTGGTGGTAGACGCCTGTAATGCCAGCTACTCAGGAGGCCGAGGCAGGAGAATCAGCTGAACCCAAGAGGTGGAGGGTGCAGTGAGCCAAGATCGTGCCACTGCACTCAGCCTGGGTGACAGAGTAAGACTCTGTCTAAAAAAAAATAAAAATAAAAATAAAAAAAATAAAAATAAAAAATTAAAGAAAAGAAAGAAAAAAATAAAAAGTCTCTTCAACCTTAAAACGAAAACACAACACCATTTTAGAAGTAGTCTTCTTAAACTACCTAGATGATTGCTATCTTTCTTCTTACCAGAAGGGAAGTCCCATGTACTTGCTTATATATATGCTTTCATTTAATTTTCACAGATAGAAAACATAGGCCTGGCTTGGTGGCTCATGCCTGTAATCCCAGCACTTTGGGAGGCCAAGGTGGGCTGATCGCTTGCACCCAGGAGTTCACGACCAGCCTGTCTAACAAGATGATGAAACCCCATCTTCACAAAAAAAAAAAAAAATACAAAAATTAGCTGGGTGTGGTGGTGCATCCCTGTCATCCCAGCTGCTTGATCACTTGAGCCCAGGAGGTCAAGACTACAGTGAGCTGCGATCATGCCATTGCACTGCAGCCTGGGTGGCAGGGTGAGACCCTGTCTTAGAAAAAAAGGACAGGACAGGACAGAAGGGAAACAAGGGAGGCAGGGAAGGAGGAAAGGGGAAAGGCAGGCAGGCAGGCAGGCAGGCAGGCAGGCAGGCAGGCAGGTAGGCAGGCAAGGTAGCTTAAGGCTCCAAGAAGTTTTGCCTAGAGCTACACAGCTAATTTGTGGTGAAGCCAACATTCAAGTCTTTGTCCCATCTTCTTTGGAAATAGGTGCCTATTATAATCAAGTAATGCAAGCGAAGGTAGAAGAAATGCCAAAAGCCTAGGAAGAAACAGACGAAAGGTCAAAGTACAAGAGACAAGCGTCACCCATTCATGCATCCACGCATCATGCAGGACTGTCGCTAACGCACTCTGCCACAAACTGTCAGAGGTTTCCCCTTCTTCCTGACATGAAAAATAACTATCTTTTACAATCACTGCTGCCTCAGATACAGCACTAAAATATGCTAAGCCCCTTGGCTCCCAGTAGCTTTCCATGTGCCAGTCCCAGTCTCACATATGCCCGTCTGTTTTCCAGCCTTGGCTTCTATGACATACTCCATTCAATCATTCATTCCTGCCTCACTGATTCCAGCTTAAACTAATATATGCGTTTCTATTCCCTGCATCCAGAAGTCTTGATGAGAAGCACAATGCAAATGAGTATAATAGCCTAAAGAGACAACTCTGATTACATAGTCAAAATAATTAGAAATCTCTACAAGTTCTATCATACAAAACAAAGCCAAAAGTTCAGAGAGACTGTTTTATAAACAAAGCTTATCTAGCCTAGCCTTTGGGAATTTTATTTTACTTTATAAAAAGAGGATTTTTTTTTTAAATTTTTAAATGAGACACACACAGGGTTTTATTGGGGGATTATACATAGGGGAGAGAGTTCAGTGGCAGCTGCCCAGGCAGGAGAACTGCCATAATGTGGATTTGAAATGGTTGCTCTTCTTTAAGTAAAAAAAGTCAATGTCACTGCTACATGCACAGCCATACTAGATGCTTTCCAGGCTTAAAAAATATAATAAAAATGTTGTTTCCTATGATGCTGTCGGTAACCTTATACCTAAGAATATACATAGAAATTAAGAGTTATCCATGGTATAAAAATAATATGAAAAAATATAAATTACAAATCCAGGTTTCCTAATTTCTGTGTTCTTTGTAATAGCCAGTGAATCGTCTAATACTTTGGTAATTATCCCCTCAATTACAGAAGCTCTACTGATGTTCTCACTCAATAATCTTGCCTCTGGTTTAAACTATGAGTCTCAAACCAAGCTGAAAACTAATAAATAAAAAATAACTTTTTCCACATGATCTCTATTTTGCCTTCTCTCTCTCTCTTTTTTAAGACGGCCTCACTCTACTGCCCAGGCTGGAGTGCAGTGTTGTGCAATCTCAGTCACTGCAACCTGTGCCTCCCAGGCTCAAGTGATTCTTGTGCCTCAGCCTCCCAAGTAGCTGGGATTAAGGTAGGCGCCACCAAGCCCGACTAATTTTTTTTATTTTTAGTAGAGATGGCATTTCACCATGTTAGCCAGGCTAGTCTCCAACTCCTGACCTCAAGAGATCCGCCTGCCCGGCCTTCCAAAGTGCTGGTGGTACAGGTGTAAGCCACCGCACCTGGCCTCTCCTTCTCTTTTAAAGGTTTTAGTACGCAACCATGTGCACAATGAACACAGTACAAAAATGCCAAAGCAATTTCACTGAGAAATAGATCTTATTGACCTTGAACACTTCAATGACAGGCCATCATATTTGCAAATGTAAACGTAAAACTAGATAAACTTACCATTTGGGTGCCAGATTTCTGTAATGAATTTCATTTTAGGAGGCCGGAGGGGATAATCTTTTGGGAAAGTGAGATGAGCCTTAAAAACACCACCTTCACTGGAAAAAAGAACAAGAACAAGTTCTTGCCTGTAAGTTCCTGCTTGTAAGTATAGAATCATTAAAACAAACATAAAACAAGGGTGCCAGCACTAACATCAAAAATGAAGTAAACAAATAATCTGGATTCACCACAGGCAGTTACTTACTGAAATAACTAGTTTAATAAACTGTCACAGCTATCACTTTAAACTCTCGAGAGAGCTAGTAAAATAAGAAATCATGTGCTAAAAAGACATTCAGATCAGATCAGATCATGTTACCACTATACTACAAACCCTTCCATCACTTCCCAATGCACTTAAAAGAAAATTCAGGGCCGGGCGCGGTGGCTCAAGCCTGTAATCCCAGCACTTTGGGAGGCCGAGGCGGGTGGATCACAAGGTCAAGAGATCGAGACCATCCTGGTCAACATGGTGAAACCCCGTCTCTACTACAAATACAAAAAAAATTCAGCTGGGCATGGTGGCGCGTGCCTGTAATCCCAGCTACTCAGGAGGCTGAGGCAGGAGAA